GCGGCGGGGGGTGTGTGGCTCGGGGGAGGCGGGGGCCGGGCCTGCTGCAGGCACCCTTCCACCTCCCACCGCTGCCTGCTCAAGGGAGCTTCTTAGCTGCGGGAAAGTTGCATAATCTCGGAGGCCAGGGGCGCCCCCTCCCCCCACCGCTGGTCCCTCGACCGGTACCTAACTGTCTCTGCGTTTTTTTTTTTTTTTTTTTTTTTTTTTTTTTTTTTTTCCCCCCCCACCCGCACAATCTCCTCTGACTTGAACTAAAAGGATGAACTGATCTTCCTTTTCCCTTGCAGAAAGATGAATCCGTCTTCGGTCCCTCCTGGGCTCCCGCCGCCAGGGCAGCAAGTCATCCACGTCACGCAGGACCTCGACACGGACCTCGAAGCCCTCTTCAACTCTGTCATGAACCCCAAGCCCAGCTCTTGGCGGAAAAAGATCCTGCCGGAATCCTTCTTCAAGGAGCCGGATTCTGGCTCGCACTCGCGCCAGTCCAGCACCGACTCATCGGGCGGCCACCCCGGGCCTCGACTGGCAGGCGGCGCGCAGCACGTCCGCTCGCACTCGTCGCCCGCATCCCTGCAGCTAGGCACTGGTGCGGGCGCCGCTGGGGGCCCTGCACAACAGCACGCGCATCTCCGTCAGCAATCCTATGACGTGACCGACGAGCTGCCACTGCCCCCCGGGTGGGAGATGACCTTCACAGCCACTGGCCAGAGATACTTCCTCAAGTAAGTCAGCCGGCAGCCAAGAGGGGCACAACTGTGATGCCCAGGACGCTGTCGCTTTCGTGGTGTGTGCGTGCGTGTGTGTTTGACTGAGACTCTTCCAAGGTTCTTCAGAGAATTGCAAAGTTGGGAAACTAGGGAGTGAGTCTCTGGGAGTTGGACTTGACTAGAAGCAGGGAGCAGCTTTTGTGATCTTAGACACTTAATTCCCTCCTTTAACTAGTTCAGAGCCAGGTCTATTAGCATAAGATAACAGGAACTTTGGGAGACCTTGGAAGCGGTGGGTCTGCCATGAGTAGGTCGTCTGGGTGCTTCAAACAGTCAGGAAAAGCAAGCCGGAAAAGAGCACAGTGCCTAGTGGGTTTACCTCTCCCAGCTGGTGATGTAATGACCACACAGCACAGTGATGTAATTACCAACTGCATTGTAAAGTAGTTATGGGCTGGACCAACAAATTGTGTGGAAATTGGGTCAGGAGTCTTATTATGTTACACTTGGTAACCTATAATACCATCACATTAGGAGTGTGCATTGTCATCGGTCGTGTCACATTGGTCTGGCTTCTTCATGTAGTGAATTTTACATTAGACTCAGTTTTTGGATTAGGTTGTACAGGAAAAATATATTTTCAAATGCTAGAGGAGGTTGGCATTCCTGAGGAAAGAAACAGGCTGGAACTGGAATTGTTATCAGAACCAGTGAGATCATAGGGGTCAGGCTAGCAAAGGCCTATTTGGAAGTTGTAGCTGAACCACTTGGTGCAGAATCACTTCTTGGCTAATCTTCACTGCCAAAAGGAAAAGTGCCTACGAACATGTCTTGAAGTTCATCATAGAGCTGTATCTCTTTGTTGAAGTAGCCTTGTTTCAAAGGTTCAAATGTAAGGTAGCATGTACTATTTTAAAAGTTTAACCAAACTCCTTTTTGGCATTTATCTTTGATACTTCGATTGTTGAGGCCCTAAGAATGAGCATATGGTGGTGGATGAATTTATTATGGGCAAGTCTGAGACTCATACGGGTTGTCATTTCTTCCTTCCCCATCCCAAAGCTGCTGATATTTTGTTTATATTAAGATTTATTTTGCTGGGCAGTGGTGGCACGCAACTTTAATCCTAGCACCAGGGAGGCAGAGACAGACAGAAGTCTGTGAGTCTGAGGCCAGCCTGGTCTACAAATTGAGTTCTAGGACAGCCAGACCTATTACTCAGAGAAACCCTGTCTTGAAAAACAAAAACAAGAAAAGATTTATTATATTATTTTCTGTGTATGTGTGTGTGCCTGGGGATATGTGTATGTACCACATACATGAAGTGCCCATGGAGGCCAGAAGAGGGTATTTAATTCCTGGGAACTGGCAGTGTGAGCTGCAACTCCCCTAATTGGGGATTAGGTTGCTAGGAATGAACTCCAGTCCTCTGCAAGAGCATCAAATGGTCTTGACCACTGAGCTATCCCTCTAGCCTCTTCTTGGGAATACTTTTAATTATTTTTATCTTTGTTTTGGGGGTTGGTGTGATGGTGATGTCCTGAAGCCAACTCAGCAGTCTTTTATCACAGTCGGTGTCTGGATTACTGAGCCATGGTATAGATGTGTGCTCAGTGCTTTGGTTTCTAAATAGTGTTAAAGTCAGGTACATGATGTAATAACATGGTATTTTTCTAAGTTTACAAAGTGCACGCATGTTCAAAATATCATCATGTATTAAGTTCACTTAGGTAAATGCAGCTGTACATATTTCACCAGGATTTTTACTAACATGGACTTTGCAATAAATATAAGTAGAGTCCAAATAATTTTAGATTGTCCCTTTTGATCTCAGATTATTTTTAAACTGCTCATGAATGCACATATAAATATGATTATTGAAATATGAAATAAGAGCTGGGATTTCCTAATGTCTGTGGAAACATAGACAAAAATGACCTCTAAGTAAAAACAATTTCTTTTCTACATGTCTTTTTAATCGTTAAAATTGCTCAGATGTGTTTGTGATTTAGGGCAAAAATAGAAGTTAGCCTAGTGTATAGAGGAAGTTGTTGTGACCCATTATTTTTGTCCACCCATGCTGCCACAGGTACTCCTCCAACTAAACCAGAGTGATTCTTCATTTCATTTTGAATAGTCGATGGATGGCATGACCTGAAGCCATCCCTGGAAATTTAGTAGCTAAGTGACTAAGAGAGCATAAGGAATTATGTTTTTTTGTGGGTATTGTCTTGTAGAATAAGCAATCTGCAAGAATTCTTGATGTCTCTTAGAGCTTTGCTTGAAGTTTGAATAAGGTCAACGTTCTGTGTCATACTTTGTTACACAGCCTTAAGAAAATGATAGCTGTCAACCCTGATTTAATTCTCTTGTACTCTATTACTCAGCTTTCTCATCTGTAAATGGGGCTGGCAGAAGAATCTTATTCATGACTATGGGGACTCAGGGCTGTATCAATCAGAAACCAAAGGTATTTAGAATTGACAAGGATCAGTTGGAGGTTTTAGTGGCTTTTCTGTTGTATTTTTTGGCTAGAAGAGGCTGAAGATGTGATATGGAAGAAGTCATGTTATTTGACAGTGGGCTCTGACGGAAATGATGTCTCCATCTGTTTTGAAGCAGGTGTTCTTTTCCCATTCGAAAACCCCCTTTTTACTTATGTCACTAACACAGCTGAACAATGGCTTTATGGGGAGTGGAGCCTAGACCTCTAAGAGGCTTTTTGCCATCTTTTGTCATTTTTTTCTTTAGGTAAGATAGATTATTCCTAGGTATATGACATCATCACTTTCTGCTACTTTTTTTTTATTTACTTATTTATTTTTATTTTTGTTATTTTTATTTTTTTGGCTTTTCAAGACAGGGTTTCTCTGTGTATCTTTGGAGCCTATCCTGGCACTCGCTCTGGAGACCAGGCTGGCCTTGAACTCACAGAGAGAGATCTGCCTGCCTCTACCTCCTGAGTGCTGGGATTAAAGGCGTGCACCACCAACACCTGCTTCCTTATTTATTTTTAAAGCAGGTCTCACTTTGTAGCCCTGGCTTCTTGTGTCTCTGAGTGTTGGGAAAACCCTTTCTGTTTGTTCTTAAAGGTTGCTTTTTGAATATTCACACCTTTTCTCTGGTGTGGCTACCTTTAAGGGACTCGATAGAGAGGCAAAGATGAAGCTTGATTCCTCTGAAGAGTCTGGGTCCACCCAAGTGCAGTCTGGTTTATTGGTACTGAACCCACCCAGGGCTATTTTTTAGCTTATTTTATCGGTGCCTGAGGAGATCAGAGATTTCAGATCCAGCTGTGGGCAGTCCAACATACATGCTGGGAGCCCCAGTGCTCCCGGGAGAAAATCGAGCACTGTTAATGACTGAGCCATATCTTCAGCTCCCCTACTGAGGTTATCATTTATCTTTAAATTTCTGATTATAATGGAATGCATGGTTTTTGTGCGTGAACCATAAAACAGAATTATAAAGAAAATGATGACCCTTAGTCAACTATTTCAGTCTTTATTCTATAAATGTTATTGTGGAAAATAATAACAATTCTGCTCAAGAAAACTTTCTCCTACTCTTACAAACGTTGACCATTCTTATTAATGATATCTTTTTCTTCTCCAGACAGGGTTTCTTTGTGTAGCTTTGGAGCCGTTCCTGGAACTCACTCTGTAGAGCAGGCTGGCCTCGAACTCACAGAGATCTGCTTGCCTCTGCCTTCCTAGTGTGACACCACTGCCCAGCAATGATCTTTATTAATAATTGTAGTATTATTTTTTTTAAAGACCAGATCACATTATATAGTTGTGGCTTGGAACTCCTGCTTGCCACTTCCTCCTGAGTGCTAGGATTAAAGGCAAGGTTACGACACCCTACTGTTTGGCCTTTTCTGAAATATATGTTAAAATACAATTTTTTAATCAAAAATCTTCATACTTGGTAAAGATCTAGTAGTACAGACAACAGTGGTTTCCTTCAACTCCTCGGTGCTCACAGCTGAGACCCTTTAAACTTTTAAAAGTTATATCTGTATTTAATTTAGGTTCCCTCTTTAACCCTCAGTGGAAGACTCTGATAAGATAGGGAGAGCATAGTTCCCTCCCGACACTAGTTTTCTGTTTTGTTTTTTTCTGAGTTTGTTGTTTACATGTTGCTTGCCTGCTAGTCATCTTTGTTTTTCTTTTTTTCTCTCAACTTTTTCTTTTTGTTTGTTTTTAAGGTCAGTATCTCGTGTATCCCAAGCTGTTTTCAAAGACTGAGAATTCCCTTGAACTTGTGGTTGATATTCCAGCCTTTGCTCCCTGAGTGCTGCTGAGATTTCAGGCATGTGTGACCATGCCTAGTTTATGTTGTTGAGCCCATGGTTTCATGCATGCTAAGCAGGCACTCTATCAGCTGTGCATAAGCCCAGCCATTTTGTCACTTTTGGTAAGTCAGTGATGTTTGGCTAGCTTCTGGTTCTTACAGGACCTGTTCACATTATCAGAGCCAGGAACCTATAACCCGATTTTTTGTGTGCTTTGTCTAATGGTGAGACAGGATCTCACTGTGTAGCCCTGGCTATCTTGGAATTTGTTCTGTAGGTCAGGCTAGTCTTGAAGTCACAGAACTCTGTAGCCCAGGTTGGCCTCAAATCTATAATGATCATTCTCAGTCCCTGAGAATTTGGATTATAGCTTCAAGAGTGACCATGCTGGGTTTCCGACCATACTCATAATCTTTCTTTCTTCCTGAGGGAACACTTTTAATATTATTGAGCTACTATTTATTAATTCCATGTAAGAATAGTTTTCATTATCACGTTTTCATATATGACTGTCATGTTCTGTCATCATATTTACTCCCCATTATCTCTCCTGACTTCCCATTCCCCTGGCCTCTTCCTCTTCTCCAGACAATCTCTCGTCTGTTTTCATGTCTTTTTCCTTTTTCCTAATTAATAATTAGTGAATTATTAATTCACTAATTCCTAGTGAATTAATTGGGGTTGCTTACATGAGCATGGAAAGGGTTATTTATAGGGC